AGAGGGGAGGAGAGAAGACAAAACAGGAGAGGAACTTAGGAAACAGCCCCAGTACTACGTTCGAAGGATGAAACTGTGATTAGACAACAAGACAACAAACCACTTTCATATTAAATCCTCACAAACAGTAAAATGCTTGGAAGGACAGCCCAGTTTTATTCACTGAATCTGAGCTATAAGAAAGTGGAGCGTTCTTTGTCTTCCTCTTCCCTCTTTGTTCCTTGCCTCTCCAAAGGCAATAAAATATTTGTTAAATAAACACATAGACTTGAGAACTTCAGCTTGGTGTTTCATTAAATAACAGATTAAAATGTTTTCATAGCATCCAGGCAATAAGATTTTTTTGAAAAATTGAGAGTTTAAAGCATTTTTAAACAAAATTTAGTATGTATTTGAGAAACCACTATATGCCAGGATACTTTAAAGCTCACCAAAGACAGAAAATTCATGAAGAAGTTTATAAAGGACCTAATTGAGCAACTGAACACACACACACACACACACCCTGATATTAAGAGTCTAAAATAAGTAAGATTATTTTCCTAAATTAAAAAAAAAAAAAATATATATATATATAATTAACTACCTATCCCACATATCCCTTTAGTTGAAATGCTATATTCACTAATACCAAAACATTTACTTCTGTGAGATGTTAGTACATATTTTTATGTCTGTAAGACATAAGAATATATTTTTAGGCTGTGATATGATTATTTTTCTATAGAAGTTTATTGAATCAGAAAATCCAGGGTGTTTTTTTTTGGTTTTTTTTTTTACCAGCTTTAAATCTGAATTCACATGATAGACAGTAATGGTTATGGCTTCACAGTTAAATAATGCACAGGCTTTGAAAACTAGTAGGAGTTGTACAGAGCATGTTCAGCTAACTGCAATGTTTCCAAAGGGGGTCATTAAGACCCACTACATCTTGCTTCAAAGCATCTGCCATTTTCTCAGCTCCATTTATTCTTATTCTTACTGAATAAAAACAGCACACACAATTTGATAAATATGTTTAAACAATATAAATGTTATGACAGAGCTGAGAAAAGTGTTAGATTTCTGTAAGACCTTTCTACTCACAATCATCTTGCCTAGGAAACAGCAAGACTGAAGGGTGAAACTGGCAAAAGTCTTGGGAGTTCTGAATGACTCCAGCAAAACAGCCACGCCCTGAACCTAAGACTCTTTCCTAACCAATGAAGAGTGGGACTTGTTTTAATTAACTGTATGGGGACTTAACACTCATGCTTAATTGGCAAACCACAGTCTATGTCTTCCAGGCACATAAAAAACATAAACTGTCCCTCTAAAAGGACAATTTGGCAAGGTTGCTCATTTGTATGTTTCCTCCTATCAATAACAAATCCATCTGCATTTTCAATCCCAGTGGTGTTTTCTTTCCTTCAACAAAGTTACAGTATAGGTTACCATTATAGCTGGCCTTAGCATGTAATTTTCCCCCTCCCCACCCCAGAAACATGGTTAATCACTTGCTACAGTTTGCTGTCTTCCAACACAAAATACATGTCCCTACATTTTTATTAGTTCCTCATTTGAAAATGTCAAACAAAAAAAGGAAGCTTTGGGAAAACCATAAATCTCCAAATCCAAAATATGAGAAGATAGGAAATTGTAACAAAATACATTTGATGAACTTCTGGAGATTCTGTAAATAATATTTTCACACAGAAAGGGATAATATCAACACTATTATAATAGGGGAAAGCTTTTAACATAGTACAAACTATCTGAGTGATATTACAATGTTAAAATTCTTTATCCAAAATCAGGAAACATTTAAATAGAAGGCACTGGAATTTCTAATGAGTTTCATCTAGTTCTTTCCCAGCTTTAATCCATGTCCCTTGACCCCTAACCCCCACCTCTGTCTTCTACACCTGTGCTCATGTCCTGAGCAAATGCCACATCTGGTCATGTTTCCTGACCAGCCTCAAACTTCTGGCTCAATCAACTGTTCTCCAGGTACATTGTATTCAGGTCTAATGCAGCATTTGTCATGCTTTACTCTGTTTGATTAGATACATGTCTGCTGTTCTACTAAGATTTTGTGTTTTATAATCGCACAGTCTTCTGTCTGATTTATCTTTGGATCTCTCATAGCATCTGGCATAGTTCCTGGTAAGTACTGTCTTGGTGATCATTAGATCTGCTTCCATTGTTGAGAAATTTTGTTAGAAGATAGTAAATGATGCCATGGGTTTTCTTAAGCCCCACAACTCTGCTGTGATGTCCTACTTGAATTTCATACATTAGTGCATGTTGTGTTCGCATCCACACATGCTTACAAGTCTGAAATTCAAAAGTACCATACTTTATAGACAGCCATAAATCACTCAGTATTTAATTAATAAATGACATATGCTCAGCCAACTTCTCATGTTCCATAAGTGATTATATTTGATGAAAGAAACACAAACAAAACCATAATTTAAAAATCTGGAAGTTTTCTTTGTTAATAGCAATCTAGGACATACAGAAAACATTTGATAAATGAGTAAATTGAAGAATAACTGGGCAATTGTTAGGCCTCATATGTATGATACTATTTTTTCTGACCAATATAATTAACTTATATTTACTTTAATTAATTATATAATTTCTCATGATACAAATTCTAATTTCTGTGTACTTTGAATTGAAATGGCTTTTCATGCATATGTGCTAAGTCGCTTGGTCATGTCTGATTTTTTGCAACCCCAGGGACTGTAGCCTACCAGGCTCCTCTGTCCATGGGATTCTCCAGGCAAGAATACCGGAGTGGGTTGCCATGCCCTTCTCAAGGTGATCTTCCTGACCCAGGGATCGAACCTGCATCTTCTGCAGCTCCTGCATTGCAGGCCGATTGTTTATCACCAAGCCACCAGGGAAGCCTGAAATAGCTTTAAGCATTCACATATTAAATTTAATTCAGGGTCATGCTTGGCCTCTGAAGGCTAAAGGGCACCCACCCCAAGCAGGAGGGCGCCCTGCCCATCTCACTGTATCAGCCTCTAAAGGCGGAGGGAGCTTGGATATTAATAACCACCATTAAGAACAAGAGCTGGCATCATCTCATAAGGGCCTGCTCTACAGCGAACAATGTCTGGGGTGATTTACATGTATTATCTCCTTTCATCTCCACATCACCTAGAGGGTAGGACTAACTATCTTCATTTTATAGATTTATAGATGAGAAAGTTAAGGTCAAGTAATGCACCCGAGGTTATGCAATTCGGGGGCAGACATGATTTTCAAACATCCCATGCTCTTTATAGCTATGACACTACCTTTCACTTTGGCAGAGAATGTTTTCTCCAGTTAAGGACTCTTTAAAGCAAATTCCTTCCATGCACTAACAGTTACACCTTCCACTGCTGTTGCTGTGTAGTTGCTTCAGTCGTGTCTGACTCTTTGTGACTCCATGGACTGCAGCTTGCTAGGTTTCTCATCCATGGGATTTCCCAGGCAAGAATACTGGAGTGGGTTGCCACTTCCTTCTCTAGGGGATCTTCCTGACCCAGAGATCGAACCCACATCTCCTGCATGGTGGATTCTTTACAGCTGAGCCACCAGGGAAGCCCACATCTTCCACAAGCGAAGCCCAATTCTGAATCATTTAAAGGCATTTTTTTTTTCTCGCACATGTATCAAAACTTCTCTTCTGTATGGAAGAGAATATACAGAGGCCGGGGAAAGACTTGAATTCCTCTTAAAGGTTAGGCTTTGTTTGCTCTGCATACTGAGGAAAATTAAATTACTCTTTACTCAAAAATGATTATCTGTACCCATAAACTGCTTTTCTAAAAGGTCCAGGAGCTCTTGTTAAGAAATCATGATTTTCATTTTAAAAAATCATATGGGGGGGGGAATTTGTTTCTTTTATATTTCATTTTAAAAACGGGTATATGGGAAGAAATAGGTCAAAAATGAATAAGAAAATACCCTCTCTGTTACATGTATGTTGTGTGTGCACATGTGTGCATGAATATATATGTATATATGCTTGTATACATCTCTCTCACTAGAACACATGTCACTCTGCTTCATTAAAGTCAATACTCTGGGGCTTCCCTGGCGGTCCAATGGTTAAGAATACACCTACCAGTGTAGGGGACATGAGTTAGATCCCTGGTCTGGGAAGATCCCACACACTACAGAGCAACTAAGCCTGTGGGTCACAGCTATTGAGCCCTTGCCCTAGAGGCCATGTTCCGCAACAAGAGAAGCTACCACAATGAGAAGCTCGTGCACCACAACTACAGAGCAGCCTCCACTTGCTGCAACTAGAGAAAGCCCACTCATAGAAACAAAGACCCAGTGTGGCCAAAAATAAATTTTTAAAAAATATTTTTTAAAAATACCAAAGTTTTTTTTTTTTTAAGCCAATACTCTGCAACCTCATTTAACATCTACTAACACCAGTTAGCTGCTGGCTGATGGCCTGGGCTCTGCAAATTTTGTGTGGAATGAGATGACCCTACTCTCAGTAAAGGGGTTCAGTTCAGTTCAGTTCAGTCGTTCAGTCATGTCCGAATCTTTGCAACCACATGGAATGCAGCACGCCAGGCTTCCCTGTCCATCACCAACTCCTGGAGCTTACTCAAACCCATATCCATTGAGTCGGTGAGGCCATCCAACCATCTCATCCTCTGTTGTCCCCTTCTCCTCCTGCCCTCAATCTTTTCCAGCATCAGGGTCTTTTCCATTGAGTCAGCTCTTCCCATTAGGTGGCCAAAGTATTGGAGTTTCAGCTTCAATATCAGTCCTTCCAATGAATACTCAGGACTGATTTCCTAATCTCCAGTAAAAAAGTGTCATTTATAAACCATGGTTCCATAGACACTCAAGGAATTTACCAAAATAAATAAACTTTCTTATATAATTCATTCCAGAAATAAGTTACCCTTTGGTTAGTGGGCAGTGACATTAAATGTATCAATTAAAACTCCTTACAACACACACATTACCATTTTCCCTGGCATAGCTTATCTTACCTTGATCTTTCAGTGGTACTGAAAATGAACTCTGCATTATGATGTCGTTGACTTCAATAACAGCTGTCCTAGAAACAACCAAGACAAGTAATAATTGGGAAAGAGCTGAGATGCCATGTTAAAGTGTACAGAAACATAAATTGCAAGCTTTTTCTAAAACAAAAAGTCTTTTTATTTATACCTATATGAATAATAAGAAATGGACTGAACTATTAGGAACGAAAGTTTTATTCCTTTCTCATTTTTATAGACACAGGATTTTACTGACTGCTCAGGTGTGGGTTTGGAGAAGGAGTAATGTGATACATTGAGAGTGAATTGTATCTGCCTCCCTGTCCTCCTGGTGTCAGGAAAATGTGCAAGTAGGCAAAGCTGAGGTTCCCTAAATAAGTCCTACCTGATAATTATATTTTAGGTTCTGCTTAAGAAATAACTAAAATGTTTAACAATGTATGTAAAGGAACTATAACTATAATATAATCATTTGATGAAACATAATTCAGTCATTAAAATGCAATTTTGAAGATTATGCAGCAGCATGGTAAATACCGATAATGTAATATACTGGATGAACACACCAAATGACCGACACACTAGGATTACAACTAAAAAACAAAGGCACAGGAAAATGCATGACAGGAAATATGTTAATATGTACATTTGTTTTGTTTTCGGTGATGTAATTAGAGTTGTTTTCCCTTCCATTTTAGCTATTTTCCAAATTATCTAGAATGTCATTTCCATATTAATAAGCTATGCAAATGTGTATATAAATAAGACAAAGTCCTCGGAAAAATACAGGTAAATATTTTTTGTGCACTTCAAACACTGCCGTGTTTCTAAATATGATGCCAAAGACAAAGTCACTAAGGTAAAGACTGATGAATTTTTCCATTGAAAATTTTAAATGTTTTTAAAGTAGAAAACTAGATAAAATAAAAGGGCATGACTTCTACTTCCAGCCAAGACTGAATAACAGAGGCCAGATTTTCCCTCCTTCCTGAAACAAACAAGACACAGACAAAATACATGAAACAATATTAAACAGTGAACCTCAGGTCACAAAGACTGATCTTTGAGAGAGAGAAAACATTTGTTTTCTGTCACCCACATTACAGGAAAGGAGAATGTTGGTGGAAATTTCCAGAGTAATGAAGAAAACAGCTGGAGAGAAAAGGAAAGAAAGCAATGAAGAGGGTCCTTATCAGGTATTCACTTCTGCACTTATCAGCACATACCATGGAGGAAATCCTCCCACCCGAGGCCGGGAAAGATCCAAAGTGTCCAACACTCACGGAAGAACAGGTGTATCACCTGTTCTCACCAGTCAGACTGGAAAACCTCCTAAGTCATGGGACACTGGGTAGAGTATGAAGAAGAATCTTGCTTTAGTAAGGGGGAATAATTGACCCTATTCCAAGCATTTCTTTGGTTTTATAAAACATATCAAAAGGAGAGACCGAAAAGGATCAAACTATTTCCAAGTGTCATAACTGTGTATTAAGAACAAAGCTCAAAAATATTTATAGAAAAACAAAAATGTCCATCATCCAACAAAGTAAAATTCAGAATGTCTGACATCTGACAAAAAATTATCAAAGAGGTAGGAAAATGCAAGTGATGGTGAAAAAAAAAATAACTGATCCTGATCTGACATAGATGTTAGAATTAGCAGACAAGGACATTAAGTGTATAACCTGTATTTCATATGTTCAAAAATTTAAGTATGAAAAGGAAAGATATAAAAATGACCCAAATAAAGTTTCCAGAGATGTAAATTACAATACGTAAAATTAAAAAGTACACTGGGTAGGATTATCAGCATATTAGACATGTTGGAAGAAAAATATTGGAAAACTTGGAGGCATAGAAATTGAGACTGTCCAAAATGAAACTCAGGAAGAAAGGAGTGAAAAGAAAAAAACAAAAACAAACCAGATCATCAGGACAGATCATCATTTGCATTCTAGGACAACTTTAAGCCACCTAATAGATCCAGTAACTGGGGAAGAATGACATGGAAAGTCAAAAAAATTATTTTTTAAGAAAGAGTGGCAGAAACTTCCAAATCTGAATAAAGCTATAAATATCCAAAAAGCTAAAAACAAACAAACAAACAAACCCTAAAGCACAAGAAACATGTAAACTACACCAATGAATATCATGACCAAATTGTTCAAAACTACTGAAAAAGGGAAAAATTTAAAGTGAGACGATGCAACTGAGAAGAGAAGTGGAGCAGCATGTTTAAAATACTGAAAGAAAAAAAATCTGTAATCTAGATCTATGTTCATAGAAAGTATTTTTCAAAAATAAAAGAGAAACAAAGTCATTTTTGTTCATACAGAAATTAAAGGAATTCATTATGAGCCCACCCAAACTACAAGGAATGTAAAATGATATCTTTTAAGCAGAAGGAACAGGATACCTGATTAGAATACAGATCTATACACAGAAAGAAATACTTTGATATAGAAATGGGAACTTCATGGTAAGCATATAAGGTTTTGTCTTGATACTCAAATTTCTTTAAAATATAACGGTTGAAATGAGAGAGGTGACACCACTACAGATATCACTGCTGTTTAAAAATACCTGGCAATACATTTGATAATTTAAATAAAATGAATAATTATTCTGAAAGACACAAGCTACCAAAGCTCATTCAAAATGTGAGCCCTGTATTTTCAAAGAAATCAAATTTTTAGTTAAAACCACCCCTCAAAGAACTCTAGGCCCAGAAAGTTTCTTTGGAGAATTCTACTGAATATTTAAGGAAGAAATAATACCAATTATAAACAAATTCTTCCGGAAAACTGAAAAGGAGGGAATGGTAACTACCTAATTCCATGAGCCAGCATTATCCAGACACCAAAATCAGACAAAAAGTCACAAGAAGGAAAGAAACCTCCAGACCAAAATCTCTCCTTAACACAAATGCAAAAACTGCAAATCAAATCCAACAATATGACACACCTTGACCATGTAAGGTTATCCTGGGAATGCACACTTGTTTAATATTCAAAATCAATTTAATTCACTGTATTTGTGAAGTGAAAAAAGGAAAACTGTATGATCCTATCAGTAGATGCAGAAAACACATGTGACAGAATCCAACATCCATTCCTTAAAAAATGATGATTTAGAAAAGTAAGAATAGAAGGAAACTTCCTCAACTTGGTAAAAAGGATATCTATGAAAAATCTACAGCTAATATCATGCCAAACAGAAAAGAACTGGATACTTTGCCTCTAAATTTACAAACAAGAGTGCCTCTAAATTTACAAACAAGAGAAGGATATCTACTATTACAATGTTGATTCAATATTGCATTGGAAGTTCCAGCCAGTGCAATAAAACGAAAATGAATAAAATGCATTCATACTGAGAAACAAGACATAAAACAGTCTTTATTTGCAGATGGAATGATTGTCTATGTAGAAAATTCAATGGAATCTATAAAAATAACTGAGTTTAACAAGCTTAAAGAATACAAGACCAATATACAAAAATCAATTACATTTCATATACAAGTAACAATCAGAAACTGAAAGAATAAATCAGAAAATAAAATTTAAAATACTATTTGTAACGACATCAAAAATATGAAATAACTAATGGTAAATCTAACAAAAAGATGTAAAATACTGAAAACTACAAAACAATGATAAGAGAAAATTTTAAAGACCTAAGTGAATGGAGAGATATGTATCATGTTCATAGGTCAGAAGACTTAATATTGTTAAAATTCTCTGCAAACAGGTGTTATGGATTCAATATAAGCTTAATAAAAATACCAACAGACATTTTGTAGAAATTCACATGGAAATGCAAAGAACTTAGGATAGCCAAAATCATTTTTAAAAATAAGACAAAAGTGGAAGGAAAATACTATGCTAATTTCAAGATTACTATAAAGCCAAAAGTATGAAGACAGTTTAAAGATAAAAAAATAGATCAATGGAACAGAATAGACTCACACGTATGTGGCTGCCTGAGTTTTCATGAAGGTGCAGAGGGAAATCAACACAGACTACGGGCCATCCATACGCCAAAAAGTGACGAGACTGTGAGACCACACAGAAATCCAAAGGGCGTCACATATCCGAATGGAAAACCTAAAACTACACAACTTCCAAAGCACTCTGGTTTTTTATCATGCAAAGATATCTGGTATAGGACATCTAAAGCATAATCCACAGAATAGTTAACTAATAAGTAGACTTCAAAATTAAAGACTTCTGCTCTTTAGAAAACACTAAAACAAGTCACAGAGTGGGAGAAAAATAAGTGTAAATAATACATATAGAAAGACCTTATATCCAGAATAAAGTACTCTCAAAGCTCAATATAAGAAAACAAACATGCAATTTAAAAGACAGGCAAAAGATCTAAAGAAATATTTCACCAAAAAAAAAAAAGATGTGGCTTGCAAATAAGGACATAAAAAGATGCTCAACATTAATTAAAGAAATGTAAATTAAAACCACAAAGAGATACAATCACACACCTATTAGAATGGCTAAAAAATCTTTGAAGACTATACCAAGTGCTGACAAGAATGAAGAGGAAGTGGAAGTCTTATACCCTGCTGGTGGTAATGTAAAACGGTACAATTACGTAGAAGAAAGTTGGGCATTTTCTTCAGAAGATAAAGATACACCTATCATATGATTCAGCCAATCCCTTCCTACTTATTCAAGAGAAAAAAGATCATGTTCACAAAGAATGTTCACAGCAGCTCTATTTATACTAGCCCCAAACCTGAAGCAATCCAAATGTTCAACAACAGGTGAGAGTTTAAACAAACTGTGGTATATCCATTCAATGTAACACTCCTTGGCAATGTAAAGGGATAAATTACTGATCTGCACTACAATATGGATGAATCTGCAAAAACATCATGCTGTATGAAAGAAGACAGATAAAAGAGGGTATATATTTTATGACCTTAGTCATAAACTTTTAGAAAATGCATACTATAGTGACGAAAAGGTGATTAATAGTTGCCTGAGCACCAGGAGACAAGGAGGGTTGGAATGAAGTACCTACTTGGTCCTGAGGAACA